AATTTTCCTCCTTTACCGCATTAGAAAATTGTATACTTTACATAGTCTAGCAGTAGTTCCTTGAGAGTTGCATAGGGAAGTAAAATAGGCTTTTCTGGTGAAGCCAGAGTTTTTCATGAGCTTTAGGCTTCCTTTCCGATGGATTTAATGGGACGAGCCACAATATTAACATTCTCAACATCTTCCCTGGTTGTAACACAGATTTCGAATCTTTCCATGTAATGCTCGAAAGCATCAAAATTTGAATGTATGTCCAACCGTTCCATCGTAAGCTCCATCGCGATGCCAATGTTATAATTAGGAGTATTCGAATTATTCTACGAACTAGGAATCCCAGAACTAACACAATTTAACCAAGAAGTATCAGACGAGCACAAACGAACGTAATATATTTGGAATTTGAAATGGGACAGACATTAGATACAAGAGAATAAATAGTTCATACAAATACCACATTATGTCATTCATAATGTTCACCATACTGTTTGATATTTTGATGTTGTTGTCAATATACTACTGAAATGTAAAGAATAAATGATGGTTATTTTCCGAATTCTAGAACAATGATTGAATTGTATTCTGTAATTGTTTTTTGTGTAAACATATATTGTTATTGATTCGAGCTCACTTCACACTATAATACTATGTATTTTAGTACAGATGTGCAAATGAGTACCGTATTAAACAACTGAAAGTATGACTAATGGAAGCGTCTACAAGTGATATGCAAATGCCGGGATGAACCTCGGTGGTCCGGGGTGCAGGCTTCAAACCTGTAGCCGATTAGCGTCGGAGCGGTTCGATTCCGCCTTCCTGGCGTATTGCCATCTCTCCACAAAACTTTCTATTCATCATGATCACTTGGTTGGTTGGGGATGATGAATGTGTTGCGATCACTGACTTGGTAGTAAGTGGTTGTAGTGTTCATTACCTTGCATCTGTGCTGGAGCGCAGTCGTGCTTTGTGACCGTGTGCATTTTGCATGGTGAGTCGGCTTACCCCACCACCTGTGTTATCCTAGATAAATGGGCGAGACGGCTGCTTATGAGTGGTGGACAACAGCCTAATTCCAAGATGCCGAAATCTGTCAATGAATGTTTATTGCAACATGTAACTATCAGATGCACAGCTTCGTGACAATTCGTTACTCTCAGTCACTTTCAGTCCTGAGATTTACAAATAATCTCCGATATATCGTCTACTTGATATTGAAGTAATAGAGGCCAGAACTACAAAATACGTGTTCCTCATGTGTTCTGTTTCGTGACTCTGCCTAAACGATTTCTATATTCTGAGCTTTATTCAATTGTTATTCAGTGTAAGATTATTGTTCCTACTAGCAGCACTGTTTTCAGATTGCTTCAGATAAGTCGACTGAAATATTTAGACGGATTCATTTTTGCTACACTTTTGGGAATGGAAATGACTAAATTGTTCGGTGGAAATGTGTACAACGTCGGACTAATCTCAACAATTACCGTGTTCCATTCTATGTTTTGTCCTGATCGCTTATTGGTGAATAATATGAAGTTGGAACGAAACGGCTTTTCGATGTTTCTTAGTTGATACAGACAAATGGAGAAATCTTCCTTCAGTCTCATAAAACAATCCAATTTGATGTTCCACTGGCTTTTTAAGATATTTTGTGTGGCGACATAAATTCAAATTTATCGCTCTGTTGACAGGTTTTGTAAAGAAAACGTAGGTAGGTATATCAACAGTTTAAATGCTGTTGATGGAGGCATTTGATGCTGAACACTATAGATATAAATTTCCAATTCTGATAGACAACTTTCCCGATATGACGATTTTCACACGCTTTGATTACTTAAAAAGTTATTAGTAGTATGAATTCCTTCAACGTCAAACATCTGATCAAATTTTAACACAAGTTCGGTTTAAACATTGTAAAACTAATTCAGAAAACTTGAACAACTTGCTTTTTCTTGTAATAGGAAACGACCACTCTCAGTGAAGTGAATAACAGGTTCACGATTTGTTATATTCTAATTAATTACTACATTGTGTAAACTTGTAGACCTGTTTATAAATATTTAGAACAGTGAAACTTCATAGGAAGACCCATGATGTTTATGGCTTTACAGTGCACTTTGATTCACAAGTCATGTGGATTTTTACAAACTCACCTTGAAGCAATGATACTACAATGTAGGATTCTTTAACAAATCCTCTGCAGTTAGTGCGACAATCTTGGTCAAGTGAATTAATTTTTATACGGGTTGACAAATAGGAATGATCCAACAAATATAGTTAAAAGATCGTGACTCTAGGTCGATGGCACATACGGACTCCAAGATCCTGAAGAAATTAATGGATATAAACCCATTTTCGACAAATGTTATCATAGAATAGTATCTCCTTTGATTACTCCACTCATTTGCGCAATACGTCTCTAATTCAAAGGCTCAGTAGTCATCCCACTAGGAGGATCAACTGTTTCACATAAGGTACTCACAGAATACTCAAACTCACGATCGTTTTGCTTTATATGCCGTGTAATGCTATTGGTGTATGGTTGTGAATTAAGTAAATACTAGTGATAACATTTATATCATCCAGCTTTTCATACACGACATAACTGATTAAAATATCAGCTTGATATCATCTAGTAGTCAGGTTACTTTAATAACTAAGGATAAGTTAAATTTAGTGACTACAGATACTTATTTTATGGACCTTTAGTCAACTGCTGGATTTCGATAACACAAATATATACTCGGATGGATTTATACACAATACAAAATTAGTCACTTATGTATAAAACATGAGATATATATATCTTATTCGGCTACTCAATCTTAACTTAGTTTATCTGACTGTATTTATTTATTTATACATATAAATGTTGGTACAAAAGGACACCAGAAACATATGAGGGCTGTGACACTGCCCAGGTGCCCAAACTGAAGCAGGTGGTTTTCTTAGGAGGCCACACCCCGAGCCTTTGACCTAAAGATCTGATCCTCAAGGCAATGGAGCATCGTGAGGAGATGCAGTCCCATGGTAGCCGGTGACCAACGATTGATTCATACGCTATTTGTTGCCTCAGGATACTAGAGCTAGCTCATGTGCACCATTGGTTTGGAATGAGGGTTTTTCAACTCACCTAGGTGGACTTGCTGTGTCCACTAACCCGGTTAAAGCGCCGGACATTCGCTTTTTGTTCTCTTAATTTCGTAAACAACAGTAGTACCACGAGAAGGCAGTGAGTAGGACACCCCTGGCAGAGGCTATATACGCGTGGCCATGTGAGAGCATTTCGAGAGGGAGAGCGGACTCTCCCCACTCTCGGCCGTACCAGGGCATTTGGGGGCCTGTATAATTCACGAAGTTGAAAAATAAATTTGAATCAACAACATATAAGTAATATCTTGTTCATGAATTACTCAAAAATATTACAGAGAATATTTTGATATGGACTATGATGATTGATGTTAAGTCAGATCTGATGCAGATGTGAAAACGCTGATCGGCAGAACAAGAGCAGCATATTTACAACTGAAGAACATCTAGAACCCAAAACAATTTTCAACCAACACCAAGATCAGAATTTTCAATACAAATGTCAAGACAGTTCAACTGTATGGGGCGGAAACTTGGAGAGCTAAGAAAGCCATCATCCAGAAGATACAGGTGTTTAATTATAGCAACCATCCTACAGTCAATTTTGGTTAAGCCCTTTTTATTAACTTACTTAACAGACACCGTCATTTGGATAGTAACAATTTGCATATTCTTTGCTCTGTTATACCACTAGAGCACACGACACTCTAGCCAAAGTGTTGACTGCTTAAATATTATTCGATGACTCATACTCCTCCCCATATATGTATGCACGCAAATACTATTATCAGCCTGTTTTGTTTTGCTGTGCTCTTATTAAATTTGACTATAAATTGCTTATGTAATTGCTTGCTATTCGTCCTTCGTTCTTTCGCTTGTTTGCCTGTTCACTCGCTCGTTGATATTCGCTCAGGTGTTGTTAGCTTTCTGACCTGAGTTATTCGACAATAAACTGTAGTTGCTGCTTTTCTTTGTCTTCTGATTTTACGCACCGTTAAGATTAGAATTATAACGGTTAGTGAAGTGAATGATTAACGAATCGCGGCACTACATATTAACATTCGTCTACGGAAAATACTTCGAATCCGCTGGCTAGACACTATCAGCAACAACCTACTGTGTGAGAGAACAAACCAGATTTCAATGGAGGAAGAAACGCTGGAAGTTGATAGGATACACATTTAGGAAAGCACACAACTGCGTCACAATGCAAGCCCCCACATGGAATCCTCAAGGCCAAAGGAAAAGAGGAAGACCAAAGAACACATTACGCCGGGAAATGGAGACAGACATAACAAAAATGAACAAAAACTGGATAGGACTAGAAAGGATGGCCCAGGACAGAGTAGGTTGGAGATTGCTAGTCGGCGGCCCATGCTCCATTGGGAGTAACAGGCGTAAGTAAGATGGATTATTTTGAAAATATATTACTCTCTAGCTACTAACTCCTTAATAACATATAAACCATACTAATATTTACTTAAAATAGAGATTTCTACCAGTACTGTAAAGCTAGAAGTAGACAACTAAAAAGAGACCTAATATACTATATATATATGAATATTGAAAGCATAAAACGCAAAACGTTGTCTTCTGTCAACCGTATAAGTTGAAATTTGTTGGAAACTTGAAACCATAAAAATATTACTACTGTAGTGAACAAGAACACGTGTGGGGACAATCGAATGTATTCAGGCACAAATTACAGACTATCTCACTAAAATCTAATAATCATACAGCACAGTTAATTTGCAAAATAACAATCAATTGTCTAAATCTTGACTGATCCTCCTGCAAATATCAGTTCATCTTCTCTGATTTTATTGTTCGTGTATTTTCATACCGATTGCGCTTCGTTTCTGTTCTTTCCTTATCGATCTTCTGCCGAAATACGTTATATGTCTGACCAATGTCATATATTACTTATATGGATATAAGTACACCACACTACACTACCACCAATAAAGTGTGGACCAATAGATACAAAAACATCTTTTTATCAAATACACTAATCAATTATTCGAATGAAACAAATTTTATATTGTGCTCATATTTCAGATAAACATTTCCTTATTTTGCGTAAAATGTCTATCCTCAGGAGGTGACTATACATATCAAGTTCAATCTTGGCATTGATATCTACAAATGACACAAGGTTAAGAATAAAATAAATAGAAAACTTTAAATAGATTAAAAATAAAGAAACGAAAATCAATAATGATTATTTCCTTCTTCTTTTCCACAACAGAATTGTGTTTTCTTCTCTTTGTGTATGTGTGTGGGGGGGGTTGATCGGATTAAATATTAAACGTTAGCTGATAATATTTTAGGAGTGGCAGCATTATACAATGATGATAATTCTTTGATATCAGGTACTTGACCTATAGCATATAATAATTGATAGATTAAACCTTGAATCCATATATTGAATGTTTCATATCTATGGGATGAAACAAAGTGAAAAGAGATAGAAATTAGTAATGATAACAACATAGATTATAGATAGTGAACTAGCCGATCACTGGTACTAACTGAATTGCATCTATTTATGTTAGAACAGTTAATAATAAACCGTAATAATGGCTTTATTCAATGTATTCAGTATAATCTGGAATTTTTGGCATTACAATAAGTTTTCTTTAAGGCCTAACTAGAATATATGGACAACCTATGAACGGAACTAAAGTGACCTTGAGAAACTTCAGTCAATTAGAAAACAGTCAGTATAGAGTAGGAATATACTATACAAAACCAAAAAATTAGAGTGATTACACATTTTTAATTTAACATTGTTCAAAAACTTTTCAAGGTCAGAAAGAGACTCTTCGGTTCTGAAATCATAATGAATACGGTACCGGAATTCATCCATATGACTCCATAATTAATCGACGTCTGGAGCCATAATAAGGTTGCACAATGTCCAGCAGTTATTTGAACGGCATAATCATGAATAAAAGAACTTTTCAGTTGTAGCCGCTAAACTGTGAAATCCTCATTGAAATCCGTTATGAACCGATGGTACGTGAGCATTGGGTATTGAAGCCCCCAAATGCCCTGGTACGGCCGAGAGTGGGGAGAGTCCACTCTCCTTCTCGAAATGCTCTCACTTGGCCACGCGAATATATAGCCTCTGCCACAAAAGTCCTACTCACTGCCTTCTCGTGGCAGGGGTGTTGTTTACGAAAGTGAGAGGACGAAGAGCAAATGTCCGGCGCTTTAACCGGGTTGGTGGACATGGAGGGTCCACCTAGGGGAGTTGGAAAACCCCAACTCCAAAACAACGGTGCACATGGACTCCAGGATCATGATGGAACGAATGGCGTATCAACCTATTGTTGGTCCCCGGCTACCATGGGACAGTATCTCCTCACGGTGCTCCACTGCCTTGCGGATCAGACTTTTAGGTCAAAGGTTTGGGGTGTGGCCCCCTAGGAAAACCACCTGCTTCAGTCTGGGCATCTGAGCAGTACTTCAGCCCTCACACAAATCAAATGAGATTTGTGAGGCGCATATTTATCTGGTTCTTTTTGTACTAATATTTATGTGTTTAAATAAATAAATAAATAAACTGGGTATTGAAACAGGCGCCGTGACCTTGAAATCGCTCACTCGCCCGCTTCTGATTAGCTCATACAAAAATTATAATCTTGTCGATGCTTTTCTTATCACCTTTTTGCAGTATAAAAGATGTGCTAGATACGATATAGTGGAGCTTTTAGTATTTTTGTCATATACAAGGAGGAAGATGTGAATGATTAATGTTTGGTAAAATAACACTTGGCAGTAGTTTGTAAAATTTTAAATGTCTATCCACAACCTTATTCGTAATCACATTTAAATATTAACCATATACTTTACTAATTACCTTCATCACTCTATGCCATAGCGAAATCTTTTCAAAAATGAAAGAAATAATAATAAAAAAGCAGTGAGGAAGAACAAGTAACATGCAAGAATATACAGATCGTAAAAGTGAATATTAAGTAGTCAATCAGTCAGTCACAACGTAGAACTTCGTACGTACATATATCAGTTCGAGTTGCTATACCATATTAGCACAGAGATGAAGTTGTCGATTCAAATCCCATAGTGGTAGAAGTAGTAAGAGTATAAACATTATGTGAAAGATTAGGGTTTGAAGATGTTATTGAAGGAGTATAATACAGTGAAATAAATTTGGAAGGAGAAAAAGGATAGGGACATGAGGAATTCAGAGAATTACAATTTGGTAGAACACAAAGAGTGTATGCACCTTCGCCATTGCAAACGATTTTGAGCCATGTCATTCAAGGTCTCTAACCATCGATTGCTATCATCTCGCGAATCCCAACCAGGTAGTCTACACCTACCAACATGGCTCAGCCCAATTGAACTAAAAATATGTACTCTCAGTATGTAATAAATCAGACGAAAACCTTTCTTAGATATTAATAAAATATGAGATCAGAAGAAAAATTTGCATTAAAAGAAATATCATTTGAAAGAATCTCCCACAATATAAACTTCGATCTCAGACTCAAGTTGAAAGTTCGGTGTTTGGAATGATTAAGTTGTTGAAGATACTAGATCCCCAGAAATCACTAGCGAAACTTCTTGTTTTTGCCTTCAGTTTGCATATCCCACTTGGAAAGACCCTAAATGTCATTGATTCGTCGCCTCTTTCAATATGCTATTTTGTGACGTTTCGAAAGGACCTTTTAATATATATATATATATATATATATATATATATAAATGCTTGAGTTGTGTGTTTGATTGTTCGTGCTTCCGACTCCTTGTGGAATATAACCTTACCCTCACCTGAACGTGGCTTTCTTCTAATTAGCAGCGATGTCATTGTGTCGCTGATCCTTAGTTCCGTTAGCCGATTTTAGGTGATCTGGTAACTTCTTCAAACATAGCATAGATGTTGGAAGAAAAAAAATAGACTATCGTACAATGAGTGACAAGAACTAATTCATTCGAAGGGGATTTTGAGACAAAAAAAACTGGAGTACACAAAATAAGGTCATCCGTATATTTAACAAGCATTTTTCATAGATGGCAGATCATGCGAAAATTGAAAAAGGAAGGAGGGAAATGGCAGTTTCTTTTGACATACAAGTATTTTCCGCAAAGTACAGTACGTACTCCTCCAGAAAATTGAGAAAAAAGTCAATTGATTATACAGCTCTCGGAGTCAATTCTGGCAAAGTTGTTAAATAATACTGATCTTGAAATAGAATCAAGGCAGATTTATAGTTTAGGAATGTGCATCATTAGCTTACAATAAATAAGTTCAATCCTTGGTAAATGAACTTGTAAGTAACTAATAAGTCATAAGTCTTCTCATTTCATGCTAGTTATAAAATGAGAGACTGTGAACAGTCAGTTTAATATATAAACAACGGACCCTATTTAACACACTTGATTTAAGCTTCCCAAAAGTAATCTTAAGTTATAACATAACATGCATGATCTCGAATCATTTGCACGAAATCACATAATAAGTAATCATGTGGCATAATAATAACAATAATCTACGAGCACAGGATAACATAAAAAGTAGATTGAAGAACAATTCATAAATATAAAAGAAACATACTTTAATTTCCAGTGATATCTTTGAAGTGTTATATTCACCCTTAATCTATCAATCCATGACAGAGGAATTAATTTTCCAGAATATGATGTTGTAATTCTACTACCAAGAATAGCACTATCTATCATTAAAGAGTGACGATCAATTGGATCACCATGAGAACGACATATAGAACGAATAAGATTTAAATTTCTACAATTAATAATTGAACAATAAAAAACTGTATCAATGCACTCAACTATATGAAAGCTATTACTAAGCAACTATTAGTGATGTAATTCAATTTGAAACGGTTCAAATTACCCCGTTAATTATATTTTTGATTGAAATTTAATCAATCTTAGTTGGTATATGGGCATCCTGCAAAAGTTGTATTGAACAGCTACATTCTATCAATATCAAGGATATCCATATACCAACTAAGATTGATCAAATTGCAGTCAAAAATATTAACAACGGGATAATTCAAACTATTTGAAATTGAATTAGATTTCATATCCGTTTGAAAAGTGAGTAACTATCTGGATTCAGTAAATATGTGGATAATACGATGGCGGTCGAAACAAACAGTGCTGGGTTTGAATCCCGAAATTAACATCACCTCTGGGATGCAGGTACATCCAGCCGACGAGTCCCAAATAGAACAGAACGCGCGTCCTGTATCCTATTGCTAGCCACATTTGATCTATTTCCATGCTAACTATAGTGATGATTAACTTTTAATTTAGTTATTGTAATTATGATGCTTGAAATCGATAAAGATTTTGAGTCAGCACTTGAATTCGAAATAGCGGTTATAGAATAAGTGTAAATACATAAACTACATGATCTAATCTCCCAGTTAAGTGTTGTGCCTCATAAATAAGTGATAATGAATGACTATCGTAATATTATCATGATACACCTAATCCTTATGCTTGTTATATATATTCTGTCATAACTTGAGATATTATGATTGTGGAGTAGTAACTGATGACAATTAAGTATTTGCCATGAGAATGACTTTCCGCCACTTTGAGGTAGTTTTTATGGAAGTTAAATGAATGATTCTGTGGGTCGAACCGAAGTTAATGCAATATCAAAAGTAAAAGATTTGTCCACAACTATGTAGAAAGCCGGCTTAGTGATGAAGATATTACACACTTAACCACTAAAACGTAGGTTTGAGTCCCACCCCGCCAACTTCTGTTAGGGTAACTGGGTAAATATAAGTAACCTTGACACAAAGAGTATAACTCAAAGCCGGATACATGAATCTGTGTACTTAGTAAATAAGTAATATCATCAATGTGAAGTCGTGACAATAGTTTGTTTGGTTGTGTCTATGACTGTGGTAGGACTTTCGCTAAATATTCAAATAATTAACTGTAAATAATATGGAATAAACTGGTCGACCAAACTTATTAAAAAAAATTATATACTCCACATTAAACACTCTTCGAATTAGTTCACCTTGACATGAAAAACTTACCTAATAAACAGAAGCATTGGACGTGGCATCTGTTCAAGAACTGACATGACTCGATCAAAATGTTCGATTGCAGTAGCTCGTATATAAGCCTTATCAGCTTCCGAAAGTTGAGATGGTAACCTGAAGGTTCGACGACGCCATGGTCTTTGTAGAATAACTTCTCCGAAAGTAGACCAATCTAAGTAGAGTAGTAAAAAGTGAGCTTATTAGCCAGAAACAATTTATCAACTCTTAAAAAATTTGAATGTAATGGAAGTAAATTAGTTGTCTATGGGTGAAACAATAGAGCTTTTCAATCATATATCCAAAAGTTAGGGTATGAATACGTTAATTTTTGGCATTAAAAACGGAAAGGATAAATAAATTTTCTTTAAAAAGAAAAAGCAATTATTAGAAAGCACACAACATAACTTTACACTGTTAATCGTAATAAATACGGAATATGAACAATGAGGAGCTATAGTCTGTTGGTCTCAGTAAATAACTTTCAGATACTTTGATTGACGATATGCATTTCGACTTCACAAAATTTGATTTCGACAGAAGATCAGTACTTGTAGCTCTAAATATATACGATTCTAACGAACTTAATCCAATATAACATTGAGATCAAGATAATGAACATAATTTAAAAGGTTTCAATACAACTCTGTAGCCAGGAGCTATCTTAAGTACTTAATTTTGAGCTACACTTATTGTGTAAATGGGGGCTGAAACAGTCATCAATTTTCCTCACACCAAATAACTGAGTTCTTTAACTATTGATACACATATCTTTAAAGCTATAGTATACACAATCTAATTTTCAATTACATCAGTTAACTTTGGTTACTTAATTAATTACTTAAGCATATTACCCCTTGTGAGAGTAACTTCACCGGTCTTCACTTGGAATCGATCTGGCAGCTGTTTTTCGTGCACGACTTTGCAGCGAAGTCGTCTTACAAATTCAGTATGGCAGTGACAACCTTCTCAGGTACATCATAACACAGAAGAAGGTTCCATAAGGTTTTCCTATCCATGCTCCCAGATGCTTTCTCATAGTTAGGGAACTTGATGTATAGTGACGACCTCCATTCAAGTGATTGTTAAACAATGATCCGTATTGTCGCGACTTGGTCGGCACATTAGTTAACTTTGGTAGCATACAAGTAAACACAATATGCACAATCAATTAATTATTGAGTAGTGGACAGCATCACATTTATCTAGTCCTTCAATGCTAATCAATTTTTTTTAATTAGGATCGAAAGATTAGACAATGTGGTGGCCATTATTCAGTGGTCAGCCAATTATAAATACTTCAGTCCTGCAAAGGAGGTCAGTTTCAGCCTGAGTAGCTTAGTGGTAACATCTCAGATTGTCAAGCTGAGTGACGCGGGACTGATTTTACCAGGAAGCACCAGTTTTCTGAGGATTACAAACACATCTTATTGGCAACTCCCGAATAGCACGAAACCTAAGTTTAGGGTTTCCTAATGACTACCTTCAACCACCTAACAAATAGGATAAAAAGTAAATAAAGGAATTAACAACAATTTACACTACAACACTTTCAATAATCCAATATAAATTAAAATGAATTTGAAAGGAATTAAATTAGGAATATTTTTACCTTCAACGCCCAGAAATGAGGAAGCCTCTTTCATTGTTGACTCATTAGAGTCTAATATAGCTTTATACATTCTACACAGAGCTTTACGTTTATCACACGGTAACGTATCATATAGACCATGATCTAAAAGTACTAACTGAATTTCAGTAGTATTTCGACTTGTATTTGGATATGTAAATAGTTTATGGTTAGGATTTTTTAATTTCTGTGCAATACTAATAGGAAAATAACACAAAAATCCAATCCATAATATTGCACTAGATATGATATATGGCATACAGTGAATGGATGATTTAATTTTCTGGAAAACATTTAATTTAATTTGAGGTTTACGTCGTACCAACAAATTGCCTGGATGAGGATCAGCATGTACAAAACCGGTACAAAATACTTGATGACTAAATGCACGTATCAACAGACTATCTAATTCAGCTAAAGAGAAACCAGCATCACGTAGAGCAGATACCTGAATAGAATAAAGAAACCATATCGAAAAATTATCACTTATCTTTGTTTATAAATGAATGAAACAAAAATGACGTGACCAGTGAAGCTTAAATATGTCGAATGTGAGGCAGTTACTCATCAATAGCATTAGAAAATGATTTTACGATATAGCAAATCGGTCAAAGCTTAAACCACAGGATACCAATTTATTTGATCTGAAAGTTGAGAGCTTGCAGTAAGATTTGAAGGTTATGGGTTGTCCCCGATGACGGTGTGAGCGCTCACCATTTACATGCTTCATACTAGGATGAAATGGCTATTAAGTGCTTCTTGGCTTTTAACGATTATTTAACTAAGGTCATTTTGTGATGTACACTATAAACCAGACAAGTTGGGCGACATCTCAATGATGAGTGAGATACCCTAAAACTAAATAGCTGGGGTAGGGTTAAGACTTGTGTCTCACTGGTTGAACGTCGAGTGTTTTGACCATAGAGCAGTCGATCCCTTCATAAGTATTCAGGAATAACCTTGATACAAGTGAATGGTTATGCAATTTTGAATATAATCTTCACTTTGCTATTATCATATTATTTTAACTGATTCATTTTTTTAATAATGTCATTTTACTCTTAAACAAGCACTTGACTTCAGTGGACTCAACTCAAGAATCATGAAGTGGGATTATTTAAAATTTAAGATACCGAATCGATACAGGTAGATGGATGCAGTCAAATAATGACACTGGCATATCAGTGAAATATTACTGCTACTACTATGTACATAAGATATCAGAGATGGCTTTCAATCTGGATCCATTTTCCTCCAATGTTACAAATTATGTTTAGTATTCTTTCATGGTTTTGATCTGTTAACAAAACAGTTTGAAATGTCTTAACTATTTTGGTAAGTATTCTGTACCCGAGATTACTTTTGTGGAATCACATTTATAAACTTCCTCACTTAATGACAGTTTGTATAACGCAGAAGCTAGAAATTACAATCTAAACAAATGAAATGCTACGGTGTTCAATAGATTACAATACTACTCACTTGATTAATTTTAATACCATCGATGAATTCAGCAGTAAGAACACGTTTACTAGTAAGTTTCCGATCAACCCAAGGTACATGGACAGAGCCATTTTTATCTAAAGTTCCAAGATCTGATAGATCAATAGAACATTGAACAGAATTATCTGCTTCATTTTCAAAATCAAGTTCTTTGGCTAACGTTTCCTTTAAAAAAATAATGAACGAACAGGTGAGATGATTTTGTAGAACTAAGAAACTTTGTAAATAAACATGAAGTGTACTCCCGAGACAATTAGGATGGAGGAAGAGACTTCAAGGCCATGGCGTCAATATATATCAATCTAGAATGACGTTTATACAACCACATCAGACCAGAGTGTTGATCGTGCATCATCTGACGACTAAGTTTTGGTAAACACTATTACATAACTACAAGACGTCTGACTGCCGAAGAGAATATTCACATGTGGATGCGAAAATGAAATGACGGTTTATGAGTGTACAGGAATACGAGATGAAGCGACGATTCTCTCTAATGTTTGTTCAGGTTAGAAGTTATGTTAAGAGCTAGGGATGGCGTAAGAAGTTTAGCTTACTGCTATGATTAGGAATGAGTAAAGATTAGGGTTAGAACTAGGATTTAAGAGTAAGGCATATTATTAGAATTAGAAGTCCGGGTATGTATAGACTAGCCCTCATTGTAGACAATCAATCTAGATCCTAACTGAAAACTCTAACGCTTGCGAATCTATAGCCAACTTGAAAAAAAGCTTATTGATCAAGTAGAAACAAAACATATATTTATGTTATAATTCATCCATTAGCATTTATTGCTTTCTGATTGGTCAACACGGGTCAGAATCTCAAGTAAACCGCTCTTGTTAAAAAAAGCCAAGTGTTTAACAAGTGGTAAATGCTATCAAAAATGACATTTGAACTCTTTGTTTTAGTTCTAAAAAACTAGCAAAGAACACAATGCACCCAAATGACTATTATTATTCATATTTTCTGTAGGATTGCCTAACTTTCTGATTATTTGGACTTTACCCTTTGGACATATGTGACATTCCTCAACGAGATATGCATGCTTCACTTTAAAATCATAATAAACTATTTTGAAGTAGTGGCTTAGCAATTGAAATATTAGACTACCAACAGTGGAATAACCGATTCGAAACCTATTTCATGCACTTTGATCATGGCAGACGTCGTATAGTGAAATAAGCTCATACACAAATATGTGACTTAAAGCTTGGTACATGGAAATAAACTTGGTTACTGATTTGCACTACATTAAGTTGTATATATATATATATATATATATATATATATATATATATATATATATATACTAATCTTGATATGGTTGGAAACAATAATGAAATGTAATGAATGCACCAAATTTTGCACCAGTTATATGATACCTTCTTTTCCTTTACTTCTACAGATTTACAAATCACTTCATTCAACTAAAATATTTTACACGACCAATTAGTGTGAATATTTAAATGTACATTTGGTATCACTATGCTCTGTTTTCTTTACATTTGTTAAACATCCAAACAAATTTGTCCAACCAGGAAGAAATTAACAAGTGATAATTACTTTTCAGTAAAAACATACGTTATGGAATTCGAGCTATGAATGCTACTGGTAAATATACACTGCAATTATTCGTCTCATAAGTTGTATGTTAATTTACGCATAATTGAAGACTGGTAGGTCCGGGGTTCGAATCTCGCGAGTGCGGGATCGTGGATGCGCACTGCTGAGGAGTCCCATAATTGGACGAAACGGCCGTCTAGTGCTTCCAGGTTTTCCATGGTGGTCTAGCTTCAATTGACTCACGCTCTCAACTATGAAAATACTAAATCTCCACAAAACCCCTTCTGAGCATGAATTAAATGTTGAATGTTATTACCATTTTCCCTGATCAGCTTATGAAAAAGTATATTTGTAAAACACTGAAGTTTTTAATTTTAATCCTTAGACGTAGCTAACACTGCAAAACGACTCATTTTAATGAATAATAAGAACTTACGCGCATATCTTGTAAAACCCAAGCAAATCCAAAATTAGGATGCATTTTTTCAACTAATTTTAAAAGTAACTCAAGAGTTGCCATGTCACCATCAAATCGACCGCGTAAATCTTCATACTGAACCTTCACTGCAACTTGTTCACCATAATGTGTAACAGCACGGTGTACTTGAGCTAAACTAGCTGCAGCCAATGGTTTATATTCAAAGCTGGCAAATAGTTCAGTAGGTGGTTTGCCAAAATCTTCCATAAATATACGATGTATCTATGAGTGAAAATGAGTTAATCAGATTTCTAAATACTACTATGAACGATATAGTCACTTAGCACATTAAATTATTGAAACGGAGTGAATAGAAAATTACTGTCAATTGTTAAAAAGTACAGAACAATTATACAGGACGGGTAGAAAAAAGCGCCTAGCTTTATATTACTCATTTACTTTAAGGTTTTTGATACAAACTTAAACTACTGAAATATAGACAAGAAAAGATAACTGGTTTTATACATGCACCTTATAAAGTCAGAGGTACTGAAAGCAATCTCATATCTGAGTCTCTATTATTTTTATTCTATATGAGCTGATTTATTCTTCAACAATTCTTCAAGAATTCGGTAATACCGAAACACAGAAATTTTCTTGTGAACTCTCAAATGATTATCCCCAAATGGCTAAAAATCTAATAAAGGATTTCCCCAGATAGAGTGGTCACGCTTCACAAAATATATGAGAGATGACCAAGAAACAAGTAACTGAACGTTTAAAAACAACTTGTATCGAATGTAAGCAATTAATGTCCTAGAGAATTACAGAAACGTACTATTTTCACTGCAGTAATTGAAGCACGATTCCTAGTCTGAAAATTGTTGATCAGTGAAGAATGGAAGATGGATAATTTAGTTTATTCAGAAGCACAAAAATGAACGCAAAATAAATTAAGTAGATTATCTCTTAATGGAGACCAATATGTGGGAATAAAAGCTACTCAGTTCTGTGCCTGAATGCATTTAGCCATGAGATTTTGTTACAAAGAGCTCATCAAGTATGTTACAAATTTAGCATATATTAATTAAAACATACATTTTACTTTGCAAAATACAGTTTTCCTAACACATCAAATTATTCTGTCAGACAACTTAGCCATTTCGATCAATATCCGTTAATCGGAAGAAACATATTACCGAATTTAATAAAACACGTAGATAAAGTAACACTACACAAAAACAAATGAAATCATGTCCTTTTAAGTTCCTCGCATCGAGACAGCGAATATATGAAATTAGGATTCCCGAGGTAAGAGAATGACACTTTCCATTTTTGGGAAAGCGATGAAGTGAATACTGTCACAAATATCCATATCCTAATAGTCTTGAAAGCTAGGTTAAGCGTAAGAGAACACAATTACATTGAAACTTCACGATTTTGAATTATCGGCTCCGATCCTAAGTGCCATCATCCAACTAAATTCACTAAGTTACAAGGTCATAGGAATTCTCCTGAAATTTGTTTTGCTTCTTCAAACGGTGTGAAATTACCAGTGTGAATTCCTTCAAAGTCATTATCTCACCTACATATTTAAAGTGCTATTGTACTAGTTTGTGATGCATTTTGATGACCCCGTAGTACGAAGTTTATGATAACATATTGATGAAATCTAACACAAAATCTCGAAATCGAGATGAAGTTGTGAAACATCAAGTGATGATATTCCATCTTACTTTTAACTTGAGGCCTCACCGTATGAACTGATCTAGCTTTAGTCCCAACAATGTAGTAGGTATTATTTTACGGATAGAATTCATTGAAGTCAAATATAAAACTTAGTCAATCGGTTATACGCAACGTAGAACCTGATACATGTGTAACTATTTGAAAGGTCACATAGAATATGGTAAGTCGCCCGTGATGTAAAAGATGACAATGCTAAAATTAGTAAATAGTCCTAAAGCATGTATACCAGAGCATCAAAGGTGCTTTACTTGTGACTGGAGGGTCACAAAATTGTCACTGGTATCTGGGATAAAAAAAATGGGGCTAAAAACTATGTATATTTGGTGCTGATAACCCTAACTTGATATCATACGTTAAAGTAAGTACGTTAAAGTAAATGTGTGTAACTTGCTGAGTATATATCTAAATATTGTGCTACTTGTCGCGTCTGTAATACCGAGGACAACCAAATCGCTTGCCATACAAATACGATATCTAGGTGATTCCGAAAGATCTACATGTAACGCGACAGTATACAGAAATTTGACATTTTATTTTTTTTCCTACATGTGGGGAAGTCAGTGAAATTTATATAAGAAAAATTTGAGACAATGACTATATAAAGTGGTCACGTGTGTCCAGCCTTGCAACCGGTTTACCAGCCAATAGAGATAGAGTAGAATGAATGTTAAATCCCCTAAGTCTACATGAATGCATTATTAACATACCTCATCCCCTGAACGTACAAGTGCTTGATCATGCAATTTTTCTAATGTTTCTGTGTACTGAACAGGTAAGACATGGTTCATACTAGCTAAACCCTGTCCCATCTTGATATATAAGCCTCCATTATAAAGACATCCTTTTAATATTCTGTCCGCAGCTCTCTGATGGCATTTAGCTAGTTCATCAAGATAATGTTCAGAACCCTAAAAAACAGGACAACACGAAAATATATATTCATGGACTTTACTTGCATGTGGGAATAAGGTCATAGTCCATTTATAATCCATAGATATAAGGGTTCCAGTATAAACAGCTCTAACATTGAAATTAATAGTAGTTCGACTACTGAAATAAATACCTCAAGAACCTTTTCGCTGTCAAAACATGATTGTAGACATTTCGTTCACCCCCATTATGCAAGTAAACGTAATAGACAAAAGAGCCGAATATCGGGACAGAAAATGCCAGTCCGGAATACCTAGCGTGTTTAGTAGTTAGACCTGTCAGGCGAGACCACCTACCACCGAACGTCATACTACCCGGATGACCACACCAAGGTCAGGTCAATCAGAAACAAGGACACAAGTAGAAAAATCTTAGGGGGCACTATGGGAAACAAGGCCATGTAGGAAGGTTTAAACGTAGGGATGTAAACTTCATTTTAAGAGTGCTTTAGCATGAGTTCATACTTCATATTTCTGTGGGAATTTCCTCAGTTGCTGAACATCAGAAACAACATGCCACTTGTAATAAGGTATTCGGTGTGCGCTTTTTAGCTCATGTTCCTAAACTTTAAACTTGACTGGACTGAAACGGCGAAATTTTTGTTCTCGGGAATCCACATCCAGTTATTAAAGGAGGGTTTCAGTTACAGAAAGGTTTGACTACTGTTCTAATATTTCGGGAACTTGAAAGGAGAGGATGTAAGTGGACAATCGAAAGCTGCGGTCACGAAACAAAACACGTATCAGCAAGTTAGTCCCTGAAACCAATAGATTTGTAGATATTTGAGTCCCTTCTTGACCTCCCTAGCTTTAACGAAGTTTGGTGGTTGAACTCGATTTATCAACTATAATATTCATGCTTCGACTCCGCTAGTATAGCCCCTTTTCACTTCTAGATGGTCAGCCTAGTAGTCCCACGTATATCTGTCTCTGAACCTCCTCAAATATATTGTTTTTCCCAGTCCTTATCATCCTCTACCTTGTCGTGGATGCGTCGTGCTTAAAATGTTTCAATATCTGGATAATCTGGTTCTGTTATATTTCTGTGCCTTCAAATCTAGTCTCTTCCAATACCATTAGGGCTGTGGCAGACTTTTTGCTCTCTGTCGACAAAAAGTAAGGGCTCCATCATCATAATCCTTCTTAGTAACTTTATTCAATGCATATTATAAAATTCAACACAGCAATTAAAGAATATATGGTTTGTTTTGCCTATGTGAGGTGCAATTACTTCTGTATTTTCCGTTTTACATCATTCAATTTTTTTCACATCATCAACTACAGCCACGAAATTCCCGTTCCCAGTTTATTCTGTTGATGGTGCCACAGGCATTGTACTTTGACAACACTTTAACCAGCAACACGTTCTATAATTGAATGGTGCCCACCCAGTGAAATCAAAAGTCAAAAGCGAGGAGGTTAGAGAATATATTTGATAGATTATCGATATATCGAGAAGTGACTGATCTAAACTGGCTAGTGATCGCAGGAGAAGTTGAGCACGGCGTTCCCACTCGTGATCTGATGTGGATGCATGATCAAGCGCCTTCATCTCGGTAAGTCCATTAAAACTAATGTGGTCAGCACCTAATGTCGAAGACTTACAGAGCTATTGATTTTGGAGATTTATTTACCGCTACACTGTCCATAAAACTGTGGATTTTCAAAGTAGTATATTTGGACCATTTTCTACATAACGACTTTACTGATGGCATTCAACGACTAGGTTTGATTAGCTAGTGTCAGCTGAAATGGTATAACCGTCTCATTTATCCGGTCCTATGTTGAAGATTCCGATGTGTTTATTGAGTGCATATTGATCTAAGTGCTAAGGTTGTGAAAATTTTCTGGTCTTTATACTCTGTGTACTCCGATTCTTGATCGAACGTGTGTCCTTAATCATCTACGTGCATTGATGTAGATAATGACTAATCATGAATTTTGGCAGCTAGCTGGTGTTCACGCAGTCGAAGAGGAAGATAACAACAACTTTTACGGATGTAGTATTTCTAGTAATTATAGCAGTTTATTTTGTAGATGATGTCTGACTTTCCTTCTCGTTTCATTTCATCCTTCGGTTTGTTTACGAATGACAGAAGGGAATTAATTGATTGAGGCACTCTTCAGCTTCAGTATTCCTATTTCATTTCTTGACATTATCTTCGTGTAAAGGATATGCCATAAAAGCTGCAAGCAGTCAATAACAAACTTCAATCTTAGGTTGGAGCACGTTACCAAGTTATGCCTGTAATCTTGAGTAAACCGTTACTACCAATGAATTACGGTCCAGTATCGAGAGATCTAAATGTTTTTTCCTACCTAACGAAATTATTAGTTGGCGTCACATATTCGAATAGGTAAGCTTGTTTTTACCAACTAAATCGACTTTGCAACAAAACAGGGTGTGAAAGAGATGAGAACCTGATAATTCATACATCTCACCTAAGTTACTAAACTGAATTCACGATTCATCGGCAGACCATAGATTTGTTACTAATGTTGATTTGGGAGATCACAGCTCAAGTAAAACGCAAACATTCAGTAGTTAGGTCTCAAAATAGTCATTTGTCCTACTAAATGTGAATCAAATGTTCACCAGATTTCCATTAGATGCTAGCACATACTGATGGATAGGTGAATAAATATGCTACTCTTTACGTACTAAATAGAATGTAGGGACAAAAAGCTTCTGTACATGTCGCTGCAAACATACCAGATAGACTGCGCTTATGGCTTATAATAAAAGGCCAATATGACTTGGGAACAAACAACAACTTGAGATACGGATGACTTACTCGAAGGGCCATCTAAATTGTGATCGGCTAGTAGTGAACAGTTCTAGTCAGTTAAAACATCTAAATTTTTAATAATCAAGCCAGACACTTTGTTGCCTCGTGAACAAACAATGAGCTTATAGCGGTAAATAAATCAGCAAAATAAATAGCTCTGTCAGTCTCAAGTATTGATTTTGACCCCGCCAGTTTGACTAGATATACCCCCCTGAAGGAGTTCTTTCATGCACCCACATCAGACGACGATTGGGTACGTCGAGACATGAATCACTTGCAATTACTAACCCCCTTAGATCGAACGCTCCTCAACATATCGATAACCTTCTAAATATCATTTCAAACTCCTTCATTCCTGACTCCTAATTTGACTGGGTTGTTAACTTTTGGTTATTAAGGTGTTGAGGACAAAGAGTTGTCAGAACATGAGTATTTGTGGCATCTTTAAGGCGTTAAACGAATATACAAGCAGACAGTGCGTGGATATGGTGACACGTATTCTCAATTTCTGTCATCGACATGAACAATGGTGCGGGTCAGAAATATACGTCGTTCCTCCAACTTTAATCCAAATACAACGCGCTAGTGTGTCGCTGATTTTACAAGTTTTCGGAGGTGTTGGTTTCATAAAATGTAGCATGAGAAATTGTGACTGAATTTTCATTTTCAGCACCTGTTTTATTAGACTTATGTCCTTAACTAATGAGACAACGATTTGCTGGTGAACGAATATGTCTAAAAATGCAGTTTCGTGATCCCAGATGTCACTTGTGAAGTGTCGGTTACTATACTGAAGCACTGATATCATATTACCACTAGATGACCACGGATTTTATCGTGATCAAGCAGATTAGATCTTGAAAATGGCGTTTTCATTAAACTTTGAAGAAATATGTATGTCCAAATACTTTCGTTTTTCCCATTACATTCCTGATAGATACTTCACACTCTCACAACTCCTTGAATTATATTGTAGGAGTTATTATCTTTTCTCCGGTGGTTACAGTGAGGGTTAATTATTATAGGCCCGTAAAATCAGATGACCTTCTAACAATGGTTGTCACCAAGTTATTTAGTCCCTGTGTATGTTACTCGTGTAACGGACAATACCTGAACACTTCGTCATTTTAATACCTTCATTGTAAATGATGTGTATTTGGTTAGCACGTGTTGATGACCTGGCGGCTCTCTGTGTGCCCAAAGGTGAAAATATGCGATACACGAATATAGTGTTTGTAAAATCCAAACCTAATTTTATAGGTCCGGCTGCTGAATAACTGGCAGGTAATAGTGAAGAAACTCACAGACTCCAATCGAAATCAGAACAGAGCGATTGGGGTAATAACGGTTCTAAACAAATATTACCACGCAGTTATTCAACAAACAATTGATCCCAAAATAACCAATCGAACACACCAAAAAGTAAGTGTTATTTTATCCTTTCTGGATAGATCAAGTAAAATTCGGTTTGAAAGGTTGCTCTATCACACAAAGTGTTCCAAATTCTGGGAAAGTGCTCCAATTTACAACCAAAATGCACGATCCCGGTCAAATCAAACAGCACAATCAAAGAGCGAAAACTCAATATGGCAGCCTCCAGAATAATAGCAATTAAAACAAATTAGATACAGTTCAAGAAGAATATAGAAACCCAATGAAAGCAACAGAAGAAACTGAGAAAACTATTATGAAACGAAACACATTAATACAAAAATTGCATCAAAAATACTAATAATAATGTACAAACAAACATCAAGAATAAGCTATGATTGTATGCATGGAGGGATTTTCACATATGAAAAGTTCAAAATGGATTCTATAGTGTTTATATCATTCTCTGAATTCTTGGAACTAGAGAGGAATCCCTGTTCTTTCTCCTGCTCCATTAGTGTCTAATTCCATCACCGATTATTCTACACTAGATTCTTTTGTTAGCTTACTTTTATATCGTAGTTTTCACTAACTAAAGTGAGCATCTTTGGGCTAGTAGTTATTGTGGGTATGGATGGAATAGCTATCTCGATTTAATTTGTCTTGTTCTACCAAACCCATCATGTGCGTTGTATAGATGGGTAGTTAACGATTTAACGTACGAACAGCACAAACAGTGCGTGTTTGTATTAATCATACTCACAAACCAAAACAATCCATATATATATATATATATATATATATATATATATATATATATATGTATATATATATGGGTCATGGATTGTTTTGGTATGTGAATATGATTAATACAAACATGCACTGTTTGTGCTGTTCGTACGTTAAATCGTTAACTACCCATCTATACAACGCACATCATAGCGCTTAGATTAAACATCTTCAAGCTGAATCATTCCTTGCTAAAATAATTCCTATTTCTTCAGCTGTTAGTTCCTCTGTAAGCAAATTTTCAGGTAGAGTGTCGAGAATGAAACTTAAAATATTGAAATTAGTTGGTGGTTTCACAATCGGTCGCTGCCACCCTGTTTTTACTTAATTATCAGCCGATCAATACCCGGACGACCTTCCTTGAAGACCTCCGACACTAGATGACACCACTTAGTTCAGTATGGAATCGGTATGGCTTTGATCCCAGTGGGAAAATGATAACTGTGAAATAACAATGAACGTATAGCGATGAATGAAGAATAGTGAGTTAAACGCTAGTAAACCTGTATTCATAATGGTCACTAACCACACGATTCTCAAAGCTGAAAATATAATCACCGAGACGATTGACATTCAACATTCAACTCTTGGTGGTGGTCGGTAAATATGAACGCGGGAAGATGATATGGCTCGGCCATGCAGACGTGGTTACCCTATTTAAAAATTACTGAATCTTGTATTAAATATATTACTATCTAGCCAGCACAAATGTGTTCTTAAGAAATATTAGACGTTATATAGCTGATTCCTACCATACGATGAGTTAAGATAGCCGATAATATGACTTCCATGTAAGATCTTATAGATTAGCTTTTCACATCATGGCTAATCTACAATTTTGGAATAAGGTCTATTATTACAGTAGTACTAGTAGCTCAATAAATCATAACTCCACAAACTTACGGAAAGTATATTTCTTGACCGTTCCGGAGCAGATACATGGAATCCATCCACTTTATGCCAGAGGTATTACTTTATCATCCGCCTGCATAAGATCTTGAAAGGTGTGAGGTTAGAGGATACAGATTGTGCAATAATACAGTCACAATTAAAATACCTAATGTCAGGGATATCAGTCAAGTAGCATGAATAAACTGACTAATACCCATACTAGATTTAACTCCCATAGATATCCGACAGCCTGGTATAATTTCTTAATTTAATTTGTATATACTGTGCGTGTAAAGAAATAAAGTCGATATGTTGGACACTCGATCCAAAATAACTATGGATTCTATTGTAACCGATGAGATACTAAGAGCCGAAAAGTATGATTAAGATCTGCAAGAATTTCGAAGGTCCGAGACGTCACTCATGCCAAATCTCAACCTTAAAGCATTTTTAGCCCTAGCATGAGGCGTATGAACTGGAAGGCTATGTTCACTAGCTCCACGGACCATGAAGGTTATAACTTTTGAGATGTTCCTCAGCGTGTGATACACGGACGTCATAGGTATCGTAATGAGTATTATCTATGGGTTCTTAGACGTATGTGGTACTAGTTCTATGACAGCACATGAAAATATTCTTTCGGTTGCAAGAGTCATAAGCTAACTGAAGAACTATTTTTTCTCCAGGTGTATTTCCAATCTGTTTAAGGTGCCTCGACATTTTCGATCTGCTATTTCTTTCAAGTGAGTTCACGCACATATAAACAGACATTGATCTGTCCACAAGTCTTAGGAACTTCATATGGGTATATAACCCCCTGACGATGAGTGTACTGAACAAATGAGGGTATGTTTTGGATTTTCACTACACTTATAAGACGTTTCATCTATGTTTTATTAAGATACTGACACTCCTGATCATGCCTACTAAGTGAGCAAAAGTCATCGATTAGTCTTTTCAATCCCTTAACTTTTAGTCCCTTGGTAACTGCTTCTGGACAATATAACGACGTTTTTAGTCAACAAGGTACGATCCAACTAACGAAAGTTTATTTGGTTGTGTCAAGCTACGTCCTTCTGTATAATTGAACATGTGTTATAGGGGATTCGGAATTGTTTCTCACCGGCAAGGTGGGGGCATAAGGAAATCAGTTGGCTTAACCGAACCCGTCACAAGCATAATGCTTTGACTTATAGTATCCTTAATACTTCTGGTCATCCCCTTAAACAACTTCTTAAGCTTAGTCATAACACTAACCTCAGAGGTAACACCCAGAAATTGGAGACCCTACATAGCAGAACAGACTGCAGACACAACTTCTACTCCGTTAGAGTTGTCAAGTGCTGGAATTCGCTGCCGACTGAGCTAGTCCAAGCGACCTCCCAGGAGTCCTTTAAGAGAAAACTTGACTTATTCTTAAGGACTAATGATAACATATTATTATGATTTACCAAATTCTTTTTTTCCCTCTATTATCGTTCATATACCTAGGTTCTTGCCTGGAGGTATTGGTGATCCACTGCTAACAAACACGGAAGCCCGTTAAGCGAAAGCTTCTTTTATTCCGTCCTCAACCATTTGCACCATTTGTGAAGAGCGCCTAATACAAAAGTTCCGCCACCGTCAGCATAATGTCTGAATTCGACTTGACAAAGAAGATTAGTGGTTTTCTAGATAAACACTTGACTTTACCGCTGCTGGAATACATATCTGTAAAAAATGTAAGTCGTTCAGAATCGTTTATGGCTAGATATATGATGAAAAAAGCATTCTGAAGACTAAATGGGAAGTTCTTTTGGAGACTTCTATGGTTGATTATGCCGCAGATACTTATAGAAGTATATACGACACAAATCCTCCAAAAGGTTTGATCGAACTATTTTTTTTACGTGCTAGGCTTACTTGACAAGAGAGAAAAAGTCTTAGAGAGTATTCAAGACACAGAGGTTAAGTTGAAACCAGTGAAGGTAATATTTAGTCAAGAAACAATGAAGGAAGTTGCCCAATGTAAAAACGCCAAAGATCTACTGGCTAGTCTGGAAACCAAATACAATTTCAAGACAGAGATGCTTAATGACATGTTTGATGCTGCACGCGTAAGTTGATTACCATAGTTCCATATAATTTAATATCTTTATTGTGCAAAAGAAATAAGTGAATTTTTCCTTTGCCCACTATATCCAACATAAATTTTAGATTTGCTGGTTCTCTCATTTATAGGTATTTTATGATGCTGGAAATTACAACTTAGCATCTGAATACCTAAAAATAGTCCGTCAGCTTGTAACCCCTGGGACACAAAGACATTTGGATGCTAGTTGGGGCCGCCTAGCCAGTGAAATTTTAGTCCAAAACTGGGATGAAGCATTGGAAGATTTAGAAAAGTTGAAGGATGCTATAGATTGTCAAAACGAAGATAGAGTAAGTAACATCAACTTTTTTGCAGTGTTCAAAAACCCCTTTCTAACTTTTACGTATTAGATGCATTGTATACTATGAGGGGACAAAAAACCTTAGTCATATTATCTTTTGCCTGGTAGTATCTTTCTACAGTATTGTTACCACACTTTCTATATATATTTGTCAGTGCGAATTCAACATCATAAGATAATAATATAGTGTCTTCTTGTATCGAATTGTTTATTATAAGTGAATTTGCCATCAAAAAGATGAGTACTCGAAATCAGGTTTGTAGAATATTCATCTAAGCTCGTGGATTTTTGGGGCTCTAGATTGTCACATCAGATCAGTCTCATTGATTCATCATTTAGTCCTGAACGTAACCAGTACCTTAGTTTGTTGATCAGACTTGCTTTTTGTGATAGTTCGATAGAGCTGAGTTAGCTAATGATTTTTTCTCCTAATTCTGCAATAACAGACAGGTTGGCTGGAGGATGATGAGACCGGGAGCAGCAATCACGAGGCTTGACCGTATTATGGTGTCGTGGCGGTAATGTGTTTACTTTAGACATCCAGCATTCGTAGCGAAGTCGCATCCCCGCGACAAAATAAAGGGGTTAAATGTCAACCCTGATATCAACATACTTCACCTTGCCTCATGGATTTCTATCATCAGCGGTAAAACCTTAGATGTATGGGTCTGTCAGTTAGCCATAAACGACCTAGGGACATGGCATGTGTGTATCGATACAAGTTGCCATACTATGCCAGCGCTCCGTGATAAAGTTGTCAAAACAAGTGTTAGAGTAGCAAGATTGGTAACACTATCAGCAGTAATAGAAAAGGTTAGACAGTACGACTTGAGAACGAGTTCATGGAATAGGAATTATTAAAACGAGGTCTAACGTAAGACACAGAGAAAATGAATTCGTACTCCATTGCTAGCGGTTCTGAACGAAGTCACCCATCTTCAGTCTTTGGATACGTTAATTATTTTAAGTACAACCAAGTAGTTTGCACGGGTGTAGTGCACCAAAAACTACTCAAAAAGGTTTATGTGATTGACATTGAGCAGTTGTTGCTTGAACTCTGCAGTAGTGCTCCCAAGTCGACAACAGTCAACCCAGTTACACAAAGTTATTTCTGGTCTCCTGACTGCATGTTAGAGCTTTCAATGTTCCAATGTCGTGTTAAAGCAGATGACAGGCTTCTATTCATAGAACTCTAGAATTTTGTGCCACTGGTACACACTGCATCTCCAAAACTCGCACCATGTGCGGTCTTTCACTTGACCTCAGTCAATGTGGAAGAACAGCTCTATTCGACCCTCGTTTATCTGCAGACTACTTGGGATCTTGCTGTGTGTAACCTACTACATCAGTCAGTCAGTTAGTCAGTCAGCGACAACGTAGGACCAGGCACATATATGCATCGGTCCAAGTTGCCATACCTCGTTAGCACAACAAGATGAACACCGGATTCATGGAAGTAGTTAATTTGGTGGTGGTAGTATGTAAAAGAAAGGTTGTTTATAAGGATATAGTATAGGAAGGAAAAAAGTTATTGTTGGGGATGTCAAATCCCTAGAACTTGATAAGTGGCTCAATTTTGTAATTTTATTTTGGAAATTCGAATTTAGCTGTTTTCGCGCCAAAACGTGCTCTTATTACCTTCACATCATATTTCCCACTTGTAACTATCTTAAACGCTATTGGTCCATTGTTTCTTTGTGTGCTAATTATTAACGATGCCCAAGGACATTTCGTTGCTGTATAAATACGCTTGACTTTTTCCTTATTTGATTACTGTGCTTCTGGCTGCTACGGAATATAACTTCCCCGCTCCAACTTGGACTTCTTACTCTAGTTAGCTGCGTCTGGGTCGCGTCAGTATAGCTAGTTATCGGTCTCTGGTCACGTGTCTTTGTTCCGTTCGTTACTAGTGAATTCGTAAAGCTTCAGATATATCAGTTATGAAGCAATTTTAATCTCAAGGTTTAAGGGGAAACAAAGAGTGTATACACCTACACCATTGTGATTGATTCTGAGCCATGTCACATAGAATCTCCAACCATTGGTTACGATAGTCACACGGACCCCAACCATGTAGTCTGCATCTTCCAACATGGCTCAGACTGGAAGTTGGTGGCTTGAAGATTGATGCCACGTTTTGGTTTGGCCGCCTCTAACTCTCTTCCAACCATCGAGCAACGGTCGGGAACCTACTACATTCAGAAGCAGAACAGGCTCTCCTTGATTAGATTCTGGTAGACAGTTGGTTGTAAGTTCGATTAAACTGGGCAATAGATATCCAAAAAAACTGGGACATTCCATTGCCACATCATCTTTATATATACCCTTACTTGCTAAAATTCGGGCAAAAAAATTGGTTTTACATGAAAATCTCTGACCGTCAACGAGGTAAGCGCCCATATATAGTACTTGTTGTCAGTGATTACAATCCCTCCGCAGTTAGTCTAAATCAAGTTGAAAAGTACTCAAGTGAATCTCTCAGCATCTTCACTCAATGGACATATGACGATGGTTGTGTGTTGTAAATATTCCCAGACATTCATTTATTTCTAATAAGCATCAACTTTAAGTATAAAAAGAGACATCTGCCTCGAAAATCGACTCAATAGCTCATATCACCATCAGGCAAAGTTAGGGCACATGTTTAGACTCTAATTATGCTCTAGTGAGCATGGTAAACTCGGTAACTGCGTTTCTCGTATGTTTATTAAAAAATCACGTCACTCACTAGTCCTATACAAATGTTCGTTTCACAACAAACCACATTTGTTACGTAAATGTTAGTGATAATGTCTGGTTACCTAAACCTCAGTAAGTCATTTGAGATTTAAAACAATCTTTGAGTTTTACATTGTTGAAGTAATTAACGTTCTACCTGACTAAGGCCGGGAAATTTGGAGCCTGAAAATGTTTTTCTTACTGTCGTAACACCAACTCAGTTTTTTTGAAAATCCAAGGTAGTCAGTCATAATCGATCAAGAACCTATATGCCAATGATTGTTCAAGACTATGTTTGTACAGATCATCTTGTCCGTTATAAATGTAAAAAATCCCATTCATACATATTCATAAGTATTATTTTAAATTAATTAAAAACAAAATGACTGCGAAATCAAAGTATTTCCAAATGAGTTGATGTTAATTAGTTCGTAATATATATGAAAACAAACAGAATCTTTGTAAATTTTTAATTGTAAGTATTTCATCAAACCGTCGTAAAGCAAAATAATTAGTTTACGTCACTACAAAGTTGGGATTAATCACCTAATGTCGATCACTAAACTAAGTAGTCTAATTATCTTGTTCAAATTTATATTCATTGGATTACAAGCTTATACCATAATGGTTACAATTAAGAAATCATAGACCTACTTGAAATCTACAGGGGATTTATTTTGGAACTTAATGCGTCCGCCGTTCTTTCCGGTTCTCGCGAATGTTCGAGTACTGTTTTTCGTGACAAAATATTTATGACAAGTCATTTGGGATTATCAGTGGTTAGGTCAGCGAGTCTTTGCGGACTGACCGTAGTCCTGGATTGTCGGTATTGGAGTTTTTAGAATTGGTTAAAAATCACACATTCAGTCATGACGTAAGAATTGGTACGGTTGTGCGTTGGCTGAAGTTGTTATATCGCAGTTGGTCGAAGTTAACACAATAAATCCAATTATGTCGAGATAACAGTAGTATCAGTTCTAGCCAGAAAGTTTAAAATATGATATCAAGTTCATATATAAGGAATGAAAGCATGAAGCAATATGGAAACTCGAAATCTAGGAGAGGATAAAGAATGAATGCATCCGAACCGTTTTCCGTTTCAATCCATATCGACTGTTTCCAATCAATTGTACTGCACCTAATGTTACAGCTCAACCTAACAGTCAACAGCTCACCACCACATTAACTTTCTTTGACCTTGTATGATTATGTCTTGTTTATCCACCAATCACAATTTCATGTTCATCCTAAAACAATATTCACCTTTTTGACTTATTTTTCCTATTCCCCTAGTTACTGTTCGGTATGTTATTTATGTCTCTCCTTTTCTCTGTGTAATAGACTGTACTGTTTATTTGTATACTAACGTTGTTAATTTACGTTTCAGAAACAGATAAAGTTTATTAAGCCAAATAGCTTACTTGCTCTGACTTTGGCGAAACCAAGACTCTGTCCTCGACAGTCTAGAGAATAGCTTAGAGTTGCACTTGTAGGAAATTGCTTCCTACGGGTATTACATCCTATTTTGAGGGTTTTTGACTGCTAACTTGCTCATTCTTTTGGCTACATCACTAAATTATGACTCTAATGTAGCATCTTTGCATGTTAATAAATTTTCTCTTCAATAATATTTCGTAATGGTTTTTCCGGAAATTGACAGTTCATTGTATTTTATCGTGATTAATATCTAGTAATCGATTTATTTCGTAATACGTTTGCAACAATAATCACTAATTAATATCATGGTGTACTGATTTGTACTACTACTACTACTACTACTACTACTACTACTACTACTACTACTACTACTACTACTACTACTACTACTACTACTACTACTACTACTACTACTACTACTACTACTACTACTACTACTACTACTACTACTACTACTACTACTACTACTACTACTACTACTACTACTACTACTACTACTACTACTACTACTACTACTACTACTACTACTACTACTACTACTACTACTACTACTACTACTACTACTACTACTACTACTACTACTTACTACTACTACTACTACTACTACTACTACTACTACTACTACTACTACTACTACTACTACTACTACTACTACTACTACTACTACTACTACTACTACTACTACTACTACTACTACTACTACTACTACTACTACTACTACTACTACTACTACTACTACTACTACTACTACTACTACTACTACTACTACTACTACTACTACTACTACTACTACTACTACTACTACTACTACTACTACTACTACTACTACTACTACTACTACTACTACTACTACTACTACTACTACTACTACTACTACTACTACTACTACTACTACTACTACTACTACTACTACTACTACTACTACTACTACTACTACTACTACTACTACTACTACTACTACTACTACTACTACTACTACTACTACTACTACTACTACTACTACTACTACTACTACTACTACTACTACTACTACTACTACTACTACTACTACTACTACTACTACTACTACTACTACTACTACTACTACTACTACTACTACTACTACTACTACTACTACTACTACTACTACTACTACTACTACTACTACTACTACTACTACTACTACTACTACTACTACTACTACTACTACTACTACTACTACTACTACTACTACTACTACTACTACTACTACTACTACTACTACTACTACTACTACTACTACTACTACTACTACTACTACTACTACTACTACTACTACTACTACTACTACTACTACTACTACTACTACTACTACTACTACTACTACTACTACTACTACTACTACTACTACTACTACTACTACTACTACTACTACTACTACTACTACTACTACTACTACTACTACTACTACTACTACTACTACTACTACTACTACTACTACTACTACTACTACTACTACTACTACTACTACTACTACTACTACTACTACTACTACTACTACTACTACTACTACTACTACTACTACTACTACTACTACTACTACTACTACTACTACTACTACTACTACTACTACTACTACTACTACTACTACTACTACTACTACTACTACTACTACTACTACTACTACTACTACTACTACTACTACTACTACTACTACTACTACTACTACTACTACTACTACTACTACTACTACTACTACTACTACTACTACTACTACTACTACTACTACTACTACTACTACTACTACTACTACTACTACTACTACCACTACTACTACTACTACTACTACTACTACTACTACTACTACTACTACTACTACTACTACTACTACTACTACTACTACTACTACTACTACTACTACTACTACTACTACTACTACTACTACTACTACTACTACTACTACTACTACTACTACTACTACTACTACTACTACTACTACTACTACTACTACTACTACTACTACTACTACTACTACTACTACTACTACTACTACTACTACTACTACTACTACTACTACTACTACTACTACTACTACTACTACTACTACTACTACTACTACTACTACTACTACTACTACTACTACTACTACTACTACTACTACTACTACTACTACTACTACTA